AACCCATATTTTTTTAATCACAGGCCACTAATAAGGTCTGTAGCATCTGCAACATTTATTTAAACAGTTGCTAGGAAGAGTTTGTTTTCCCAGTAAACACAGCAAACCTTAGGATTCTCTTGATTGACTGTTTGACTAAATGTGTTAACATTAGCATGTAAGACCATTTGCTTCACTGTTGTGATGTCTCGTTTATTTTGACAGACTGATTGTTCCAGCAACTCTTAGAACCATTAGGTCTTGAAATGTTTATCACATTGATAATATTTAAAACCTCCATACTCCTGTTTCTGCTATTTGAGATTAAGACTTCTTAAAAATTGCTCATGTAATTAGGACTATTTTTGATGAAACAGAAAATTATATAGAAATCTAAGTGTTTTCCCCAGAGATTTTTAAGATGAAATTATTTTATGAAGTAAGTTTTATCACTTGACTGTGATATTTTAGGTTTTTATATTTGACTAGATATGTAAGGAAGTTCTAATTTTACTGACAACTCTTCTTGATCAGTATAAGCAGCCTTTCAATACTTCTCAGAGTTCGGAAAGAATTCTAATTATCAAAGGTTTGAAATGTCAGAATTATCAGTGAATTGATTATTTTCCACCCTAACTTCTCATATCGCTGAGTAATTTGTGCTCCTCTTTTATGCAAGAGCTAGTAACTGAGTTATTAATTTGCATATCTTTTACTTGGATTTTGTTTTGGAGATACTGAGAAATGTCAGGGTTTTGGATATTTATTTTTTATCTCCTGAATGAAATGTAATCCAGGGCTGCCATTAACAAAATGAGTTTCCTATTCAAGCTTTCACTCATGCACCAAACTATATCATTTTACAAACAAAATGTTGACTCCTACTAAAAAGTAGTCCCAGCACTTTCGGAGGCCGAGAAGGGCAGATCACCTGAGGTCAGAAGTTTGAGACCAGCCTGGCCAATATGGTGAAACCCTGTCTCTATTAAAAATACAAAAAATTAGCCAGGTGTGGTGGCGAGCACCTGTAATCCCAGCTACACGAGGCTGAAGTAAGATAACTGCTTGAGCCTGGGAGACAGAGGTTGCAGTGAACCAAGATTGCTCCATTGTACTCCAGCCTGAGCAACAAGAGCAGAACTCTGTCTCAAAAAAAAAAAAAAGTAGTTTTGAGTTTTTAATTTAACTTAAAACAATATATATTCATCCATCCATCTAATTATTAGTGTTAAGAGGTTTACAGTTTTTCTTTAGTCTTTTGTGTGTAAACAAATATCTTGTAAAATCTGAGAGGTCCTAGTCTACTAACAGATCTGAAGCTTAAAGAAGATGGCATTGAACTTTTACTGAGCTTCTGTTCTTTATTCCATTTGAAAAGACTGCTCTATACAAATGTCATATGCAGGGTTTCTATTCACATTAGCCTTCATAGCTGAATATTTTAAAGAAACAATTTTCCTTTTGGCTCAGGTCGATGACTCTGGATATTTCTCAGCAGCACCCCTCATTTTTGGTGACTTAACATTTTGAAATCTCTGACTGTGCTAGATTAAGAATATCAGACTTGATCACTTTGGACTTTTTTTTTTTTTCTTTTGAGACAGCGTCTTGCTCTATCACACAGGCTGGAATGCAGTGGCACAATCTTGGCTCACTGCAACCTCTGCCTCCTGGGTTCAGCCTCCTGCCTCAGCCTCCGGAATAGCTGGGAATACAGGCGTGTGCCACCACACCCAGCTATTTTTTTGTATTTTTAGTAGAGACAGGGTTTCATTGTGTTAACCAGGATGGTCTCAATCTCCTGACCTCATGATCTGCCTGCCTCGGCCTTAAAAGTGCTGGGATTACAGGCGTGGGCCACTGCACCCGACCTAGACCTCTACGTAAATAACTTTTGCTACTTGAAACATGACCAAGCTTCCAGTGAGATTTCATATTAGACAATTACTTGTTTTGAACTTGCAGAATTTAAAAGTATATTTGTCCTCTGATAGAAGGCAGTTAGCATGTTTCCACACTGTTCTACCTGATTTCCTCTTCTCTCTCCTACTTTAAAATCACCTAAGAAACTCTGTTAGGTTTTAATGAAGGAAGCACTAAACATTTTCATTTTAAATTAATGAGGTCTAGTGAGTCAGAAATGGATACTTTGAAACTATTGTATATTGCCCTCCCCAAGATTATGAGTCAAAAATGGGTTATGGCTTTTATTTCCTTCTGAACAAGGCAAGAGAAGGGTCTTGTGCCTGAGCTAAGTGCATCGCTTTATAACACTTACTGCTGTCTCATGGATTTGATTTTATTGATGGTGCAGTCAATACACACACACACACACACACACAGAGAGAGAGAGAGAAGAAATTGGAATTGAAAAGATAAATTTGGGATTTTCTCCCACAAACTTTTATATAAAATAGTAATTGAGCAGCACCAACATGGTATAATTAATAGGGAAAAAAGCAGAGGTCAAGTCCTGTCTCTGCCATAAACCAAGAGTGTACTTGAGCAAGCTGACTCTTGTTTCCTCACCCAAAATAAGGAAGTTAGTTATCTCTGAGATTCTATTTTGCAGTGAGATTCTGTAAATGTTTAACTCATAACTCAACTTTATGCTTCCATTAAACAAATGACTTAGTCACAAACAATGACTTTTAATAATCCCAGATCTCAAAATATGTTTCTCTTAGGCCCATACAATTTAATTTACCTGATCTCAGCTTAAACCCTTTTATGGAAATTGATTTTTTTTTCCTTTGCCCTTACTAGTATGTCTTGCCCCCTATGTTTGTCCTTTTAAAATGTCCAGGAAAAGCAAAATTTTCTGGGAGTAGGAAAAAAGCTTCAGGTAATGAAACAATATCATTCTGAAATTCATCTTATTCTTTAACTGTGTGTTTTTTCAGAGATTATAGGTTCTGCTTCCACTCTGTGTTCCACTTCTTCCTCTTACTGCGTGTCAGTTCATGTATTTCTTTAACCAAGTATGTATCCTTAATGCATGTAAAGATGGTCAAACTACAATATACTTCCACCGTGCTAAGGCGTAAATATTTGAGACGTACTCGTGGTTGTGCAGGTTCCCTTTTATTATTAACTTAAAAACTGAACTTTACTAAATAGAACTAGCCCAAAACACACTAAAGCCATTTCGAGATCCGTTATTCCTTTTTACACATTTGTTCACGTACAGTAAAACTTAAAATGTATGCATATTTTAAAATTATTCTGTTTACTGAGTTAACTTACCTTATAAACTCTGAGAAATGTAAATCAGATTTGTTACTACAACAATGCATTGATTTTGGAATTAGTAAACCAGCCTAGAGCTATGGTAATACAGCTACTCTGTGTTTTAAGTATTGTAGAAAGATGGCAAGTGACATTTCTTTCATATATATATATATATATATAATTTATGTAGTTTACCACAAGCTCTATTGATCCATAAGCATAATTCTGAAGTGATATTCCTTCCTTTTCGTAAAGATTTCCAGGAAACTGGATTGTAATGAAGTTTTTGTCAAAATAATACTCGTATTAATTTAGGAAGTTCAGCTTTTTCATATCCTTATTAGTTCAAAAAACTTTTAACTTAGATTAGCATTTTAAAAGGATGATAGTAAACTGTGATATTACATGGTCATTTAAATCATTGTGAGTCTCTTTATCTTGTTTGTGAATCTTTATTACTAAGGCTTTGAGCAGTTGCCATACTGTTTTTTGAGAGATGAAAAGGCCACCTGTGTCACATTTTCCTTCCAAAAGCATTTTCATGCCTGTGGGAGGCTTGATAGCTAGTGAAACACCAAGTATTAAATACATGTTATTAGGGCTTAATCAAAGCCAGAAGTTTATGTCTATTAAATCATACCCACTGTCTAAAAAGCGAAAATTTTTGCCAGCCAACCTCACTTTTTTTTTGGTCTATATGACACCATAATGTAGGGCTACTTAGAAACCTAGTGATATTCTGTTCTATTAACAAAATGAGAAGAGTCTCTGACCACCAATGCTAAGTGTGAGTATTATTTTCTGTTGGACACTGTCTGACAGATTGTAAGGCCAGGGAGAAAACTGTCTACTGGAGATATATTTCTAAAGTTCATATGTAATCACTTCACCATTTATGCTCAAAATGACTTAGCATTTCTTTCTTGTCACAGAAGTTTGCACCAGCACACATAAGGCCCACAGCGACCTGGCTTTGCCCTCTTTTTCCTGCCTCATCTCCTATCCATCTTCCTGCATGGATTCTTCTCAACTCCCAGCAGTCTCTACATACCTCTTAAGATGCCAGGCATTTGTGTGCCATACATGTTTCTACTCATACGGTTTTCCTTCTGTATCCTAGTTCCCATTTATCATCTTACTCATCCTTCAGTGAGTTAGCGGTACATGGGCCTATCTTGCCAGCTAGATTGCAGTCTCTTTGTGGGAGATACAGTGTTTTACTCATCTCCAAACCTACTGTGCTTGGTCCGTAGAAAAATCTCAATAAATATGTCAGTGAGTCCTTTGAAGTTCTCTGACAGCCCACCTGAAGACCTGGCTATATATATATATCTGATGCAGAAGTCAGATTTCCTGTCAACTCAACCTTACACAACCACAAAACTGAAAACATAGTTTTAAAATAAAAACAAACACTAGAAACAGATATAATGAGCTTAAGCACTAAGGCTATGCTCTCTTTCCTCAGGCAGTTTCAGGATTTCACTCACAACCTATTCTTATTTAGAGTAATGCCTTACAAGGTTGTTTAATTGCTTTTCTGGTTCCAATAGATGAACCTACTTGCTGTAGAGATAGGAAGAGTATATGTTCAGTGATGGCCATGAAGAGGAGCTGACGGAAAATCCAAAAAAGAAGTAGAAATTTAATATGTAATGCAGATTATTAATAAATATTAGTAACTTATCAAGGAAAGGCTGTTTGTTTTAGGTTCTGTGTCCTCTGCTTAGAAGGCAGTATATTCTGTAGAACACTTTATAAAAGATTTTCTGTTCAAAACAATTGAGTCAGTGCTCACTTCAGCAGCATATATACTAATATTGGAAAGATACAGTAAAGATTAGCATGGCCCCTGCACAAGGCTTACGTGCAAATCTGAAGCATTCTACATATTTCTACCCAAATGAGAAGTAAACAGAAAACTAATTCTCACAAAATGACAAAACAGGGTTCTATAGACAGGTTCTGTCTAGTGATGGATCTAAACCAAGATAAAATACCTTTTAAATACCTTTTTATAAAAAATGCAGAAGACTGATTGTTAAACTACTAGAGGAAATACAAGAGAGAGGTGAAAAACAACATAAAGAAGTTTGAAAACTATTCAAGATGTGAATGAAATTTTCTCTAAAGTGATAGATATTTTAAAGAAAAACCAATCAGAACTTCCAGAGTTGAAAGACACATTCAAAGAATTACAAAATTCAGTGGAAAGTGTTAACAATAGGCTTTCTTCTACAGAGTGGAAGAAAGACTTTCAGAGCTCAAAGACAAGGCTTTCAAATTAACCCAATCATACAAAAATAAAGAAAAAAGAGTTCAAAGAAATGAACAAAGTCTCCAAGAAATATGGGATTATAATGGCCAAACCTAAGAATCACTGGTGTTCCTGAGGGATAAGAGACAGCAAAAAGTTTGGGAAGCTTATTTGAGGGGATAATTGAGGAACATTTCCCTGGTCTTGCTAGAGATATAGATACTCAAATACAAGAAGCTCAAAGAACTCCTAGGAACCATATGATCCAGCAATTCCACTGCTGGGTATGTATCCAAAAGAAAAGAAATCAGTATATCAAAGAGATAACCGCACTCTTGTGTTTGTTGCAGCCCTATTTATAATAGCTAAGATTTGGGAAGCAACTTAAGTGCCCATCAAAATATGAGTGGATAAAGAAAATGTAGTACATATACATGGAATACTATTCAGTCATAATAAAGAATGAGATCCAATCATTTGCAACAACATAGGTGGAAGTGGAGATCACTATGTCAAGTGAATTAAACCAGGCACAGAAAGACAAACATCACATATTCTTATTTATTTGTAGGATCTAAAAACCAAAACAATTGAACTCATGGACACAGAGAGTGGAAGAATGGTTACCAGAGGCTGGGAAGGGTAGTTGGGTGTTGGGGGTGGGGCAGGCAGGGAAGGCAGTGATGGGGAAGTAGGGTTGGTTAATGAGTACAAAAAAAAAAGGCTGAGGCAGGTGGATCACTTGATCAGGAGTTTGAGACCAGCCTGGCCAATATGGTGAAACCCTCTCTCTACTAAAAAGTGTAAAATTAGCCAGGTGCGATGGCACATGCTCGTAGTCCCAGCTACTTGGGAGGCTGAGGCACAAGAACTGCTTGAACCCAGGAGGCAGAGGTTGCAGTGAACTGAGATCACACCACTGCACTCCAGCCCGGGTGACAGTCTCTGACAGAGCAAGACTGTCAAAAAAGAATGAATGAATGGATGAATAAGACCTACTATTTGATAGCACAACAAGGATACTATAGTTAATAATAACTTAAGTGTACATTTTAAAATAACTTGAGGAGCATTATTGGATTGTAATTCAAAGGATAAATGCTTGAGGGAATGGATACCCCATTCTCCATGATGTGCTTATTTTACATTGCATGCCACTATCGAAACATTTCAGGTACCCCATATGTACCTACTATGCACCCACAAAGAAAATGGTTCTTTAATTTTAAAAAAGAGCTTTTAAGAGATTCATTGCAAAAAGGATATCACCAGGGCATATAGTTATCAGGCTATCCAAAGTCAACATGGAGGAAAGAATTCTAAGAGCAGTAAAAAAATCATTAGGTAACTTGTAAGGGAAAACCTATCAGACTAACAGAATTCTGAGCACAAACCTTGCAAGCCAGAAGGGAGTAGGGTCTTATCTTTAACATCCTTAAACAGAATAACTGTTAGCCAAGAATTTTGTATTCAGCAAAACTGTTTCATAAATGAAGGAGAAATAAATTCTTTTTCAGACAAGCAAATGCTTAGGGAATTTGTCACTACCAGACCATCCCTACAAGAAATGCTAAAAGGAATTCTAAATCATAAAACAAAAGGTAGATATGTACCAGAATAGAACCTCTTGAAAGCATAAAACTCACAGGGCCTGTACAACAATAACACAATTAAGAAAACAGAGTATCTGGAAAACAACCAACATGATGACTGGAACGGTACCTCACATTTCAATATTAATGTTGAGTGGTCTGTACACTCCATGTAAAAGATACAGATTGGCAGAATGGATAAAAAATTGCAAACCACATTATCTGCTGTCTTTAAGAGACTTACCTAACATGTAAGGATTTATATATAGACTCAAAGTAATGGGGTGGAAAAAGATATTCCATGCAAATGGAAACTAAAAGTGAGCAGGAGTAGCTATTCTTAGATAAAACAGACTTTAAAGCAACAGTTAAAAAAAAAAAAAAAATAAGACAAAGAAGGGCATTATATAATGATAAAAGGATCAATCCAACAAGAAGGTATTATAGTCCTAAATAAATATGAACCTAACTCTTGAGCTCTGAGATTCCTAAAACAATTGCTCTTAAATCTAAGTAAAGAGATATGTGCACACAGTAACAGTGGGGGACTTCCAACACTCCACTGACAGCACTAGACAGATCAAGGCAGAAAGTCAACAAAGACAGGACTTTTGCTGCACTCTAGAACAAATGGACATAACAAATATTTACAAAACAGTCTACCCAAGAATTATAGAATATACATTCTTCTCATCCAACCTGAATATTCTCCAAGATAAACCATATGATAGGCCTAAAACAAGTCTCAATAACTTTTTAAAAATCAAGTTGACTCATAGTTCTGCATGGCTGGGGAGGCCTAAGGAAACTTATAATCATGGCAGATGGTGAAGGTGAAGCAAGCTTAGACCTTCTCACAAGGTGGCAGGAGAGAGCAGAGAGTGAAGGGGAAAGAGCCCCTTATAAAAACATCAGATCTTATGAGAACTCACTATTATGTTCTCCTAATAGTTCCCTACATAGAGGAAACTGCCCCCATGATGCAGTTACCTCCCCAGGTCTCTATCTAGACACATGGAGATTACAAACCAAGATTATGGGGATTACACTTCAAGGTAAGATTTGGGTGGGGACAGAGCCAAAACATATCATTCTGCCCCTGGCCCCTCCCAAATCTCATGTCCTCACATTTCAAAACACAGTCATGCCTTTTCAACAGTCCCCCAAAGTGTTAACTCATTCCAGCATTAACCCAAAAGTCCAAGTCCAAAGTCTCATCTGAGACAAGGCAAGTCTCTTCTACCTAAGGAGGCTGTAAAACCAAAAGCAAGTTAATTCTGAGATACAAGGGAGGAACAGGCATTGGGTAAATGCTCCTGTTCCAAATAGGAGAAATTGACCAAAACAAAGGGGCTGCAGGCTCCATGCAAATCTGAAACCCAGCAGGGTAGTCATTAAATTTTAAAACTCCTAAATGATCTCCTTTGACTCCATGTCTCACATCCGGGTCACACTGATTCAAGAGATGGGCTCCCATGGTCTTGGGCAGCACTGTCCTGTGGCTTTGCAGATTATGGCCCTCCTCTCAGCTGCTTTCACAGGCAGATGTTGACTGTCTGTGGCTTTTCCAGGTGCATGGTACAAGCTATCAATGGATCTACCATTCTTTGGTCTGGAGGAGAGTGGCCCTCTTGTAACAGCTCCACTAGGCAGTGCTCCAGTGGGGACTCTATAGGGGCTCCAACCGCACATTTCCCTACCGCATTGCCCTAGCAGAGGTTCTCCATGAGGGCTCTGCTCCTGCAGCAGACTTCTGCCTGGACATTTAGGCATTTCCGTTACATCCTCTGAAGTCTGGGCAGAGATTCCCAAACCTCAATTCTTGACCTCTGTACACCGAGGTCCAACACCACGTAGAAGCCACCAAGGCTTGGAGTTTGCACCCTCTGAAGCCATGGCCCAAGCTGTACCTTGGCCCCTTTTAGCCACAACTAGAGCTGAAATGGCTGGGATTCAGACTGCCATGTCTCAAGGCTGCATAGAGTAGTGGGGCCCCTGGGCCTGGCCCATGAAACCATTTTTCCTCCTAGGCCTTCACACCTGTGATGAAAGGGGCTGCTGGCAAGAACTCTGACATGCCCTGGAGACAATTTGACATGGCCTGGAGGTAATTTCTCCATTGTTTTGGCTCCTCATTACCTATGCAGATTTCTGCTGCAGGCTTGATTTTCTCCCCCAGAAAATGAGTTTTTCTTTTCTATCACATCATCAGGCTGCAAATTTTCCAAACTTTTATGCTCTGCTTCCCTTTTAAACATAAGTTCCAATTTCAAACCATCTCTTTGTGAATGCATAAAACTGAATGCTTTTAAGAGCACGCATGTCATGTCTTGAACACTTTGCTGCTTAGAAATTTATTCCACCAGATACCCTATCATCTCTCTCAAGTTCAAAGTTTTACAGATCTCTAGGGCAGGGGAAAATGCCACCAGTCCCTTTGCTAAAGCATAGCAAGAGGGACCTTTGCTCCAGTTCCCAATAAGTTTCTCATGTTCATCTGAGACCACTTCGGCTTGAGCTTCATTGTTCATATCACTATCAGCATTTTAGCCAAAACCATTCAACAAGTCTTTAGGAAGTCCAAACTTTCCCACATATTCTTATCTTTTTCTGAGCCATCTAAACTATTCCAACCTCTGCCCATTACCTAGTTCCAAAGTTGCTTCCACATTTTTAAGTATCTTTATAGCAGTGCTCTACTACCTCAGTACCAATTAACTGTGTTAGTACATTTTTACACTGCCATAAAGAAATACCCAAGACTGGTTAATTTATTAAGGAAAGAGATTTATTGACTCACAGTTCCTTGTGGCTGGGGAGGCCTCAGGAAATTTATAATCATGGTGGAAGGCAAAGATGAAGCAAGCTTGGACCTTATCACATGGTGGCAAGAAAGAGCAGAGTGAGATCAAAGAAGAAGAAAGACCCCCTTATAAAACCATCAGATCTTGTGAGAACTCACTTGTTATCACCAGAACAGCATGGGGAAACTGCCCCCATGATCCAATCACCTCCCACCAGGTCTCTCCCTAGATAGGATTCTGAGGA